AGGATAGCATTACAGTTATTAATATGGAGAGTTCTAATTCCAACATAGTCTGCTGTATTTGCTTTTGTACTATTGCCACTGGGCAAGGTATGAATTCATTTATTCTCCCCCCAGCTATGGGTTAAATAAGAGTAGATGGGAATCTTTAGCTCTGGATGGCAACCAGTCTAAGAGAAACATGACACTGAATTCCAAACCATGGAGAAAGCAATGAGAATCCACTTCATTATCATTCCCAATAAATCATTGAAATTCACAGATAATAAAGACTGATTTCTTTGTTTAATAGCATATGGTTCATTTAATGCCAAAATTTAATTTTCTTGAGACTCTGAAATAATAAAAATATGATAAATGTTATTCTGCCTTCAAAGTTGAATATATGGAAGATGATACTCAGCTTTTGTGCATATACATATAATTACTAGAGGTGGTGAAATGTGTGTTTTATATTGTAGTTTTGTGAAAGTTATATTTTGGAATGGAGATGAATCTAAGAAATTGTCAGATATTAGACGGTTTAATGTCATGAAAGAGTTCTTTTATGTTGGTTGTTTGACTGATTTTGTTTAGTGACATATCAAACTCTATGAGTTATTTAATGATGAAATCTAAATATTTTGAACATAATTTTATGGCTTCAACTACAGATAAAATTGGACATTTTGCTATAAATAAATATTTTTGATAATTTTACTATTTATACTGGAAGATACCTATTCTATTATTAATAGACTCTCCCACCTATAATAAGTAGGAGTAGTAGCAGTCACCAGTGAGCTCAGAGAGTTGGTGAGTCAGTCTAGGTCGGACATTAAAGTATCAGACACCACAACTAGATTGCTGTGTTATTAACTATTATATCAAGTTCCTAACGTTTTGTACGTCGAACCTTTTTAGGACTGACTCAGTGAAATACAAGCCTCCACTGTGAAACTACTCTACAACAACTTTGGCGACCAGGATTCGAAACTCATACGGAAAAAAAAAAAAAAAAAAAAGATTCATTTGCTATATATAACAACTTTAAGCATTGTGTAAACTTTTTGCAAAGATGGAGGAATGCAAAAATATATTCCAGGAATTTTTTAATTTCCAGACGGAACAAAAGATGACAATATTAGAGCAGCAGAAGACATTCCAGATGCAACTACAGGAGCAAACTTTTAATAGATGCAGTTTCAACAAGAAATGGAACAAATGCATAAGGAGTTTCAAAACAAAATTCTGGAAATAACTGAGAAGAGGAAATAAAAATCTACAAAATGATTCTTTCCCAGAGAATACAATATGGAATTCGATTAAAATTTTCACGTACAGTCCAGACGAAGAGATAACTTTTGAAGAGTATTAAGAGGTCTGACATTAAAGTATCAGCCACCACAACTAGATTGCTGCGTCATTAACTATTATATCAAGTTCCTAACATTTTGTACGTCGAACCTTTTTAGGACCAACTTAGTTAAATACAAGCCTGCACTGTCAAACTACTCTACAACACTATTTAAAATTAATTTTATACTTTCATAGCATTTTGTTTTGGGGTTCACTATTTGCCTATACCTGGGACCCTAACAGGTGCTACCAACAAGAGTCAGGGTGAACCTGGCAACAATAGCAATTAAGAGGTGGTTCCACACTCCTTAAAACCTCCAATCTCCCAATCAGAAGCTTTGCTGCCAGATGTAGTTTATCATCATAATCAGGACTAAGATAATAAAACAAATTATTCTATAGAGAGTTATGCTCCCCTATGGCCTTTTAAAAAAAAAGAGAAAATAATATACTAGGTGCTATTAAAAAAAATGTTCTGACTGTATATGTTAACTACTCATTTTCAATTCTTATGTTAGGCTTTGTAGCATTCTACTAGATTGGCTCTGTGACCTTTACGAAGATTGACAAATATGAGTAGACCAAATTTTGTATGACGCATGAAAAATCTTTAATAGAGAGTTTTGAAATGCTTTGTTAAGCTTTTGGCAAACATTTCTTTAAGTTGAATATAAAGTTTTTTGAGTGAAATGTGCATTTTAATTAAGGTTGGTCATAAAATGGTTCAAGACTATTTAGAAATGTTCAGAAAAATGTGAAGCGAATTGTGATCTCATCCAAGACTCTCACCAAACAATTCACCATCTCTCACATCTAACTGGAATTAATTATGGAGTCTGCCAGGAGATTGTAGATATTAACAAGGTTGTGGGTTCTGTGTGTATTTTTTAGGTGAAGGTGCATGTTCAATATATAAACAAAGAAGCTAGAAGCATATAAAGAAAATCTTGTGTTTCTACTACAGACATTTATTCCTTTGATGTTGACTGCATTGAAAAAAAAAGTTAAATGTCTTTTGTGTATGTTCATTTTCCTTTTTGGTTCAGAAATAATTTATGGGAAGTAAAGATAAGAACAATTAAAGATGGTTGAGCTCAAGTCAGACTTATGCTGAGTTGGGATGGCTGAATCTTTGCTTCATGAGTAGAGCTGCTGAAAATACTTCTGAACAATCTCGTTGGAAAGTGGAAAAAAAAAAAGGATTCCATTCTTTCTGGGATCATAAAATTGCACATGTGACCAGAAACCCTTTATGGTTTCTGTTGTATAAGAGTAAGTGTCATTGCTGACACTGTTGTTTGAAACTAGATTGCCAGTGAGTAACATGGGCAATTCCATTATTAAGCAGATCATGTGATCATAAAGGAAGTGAATAAATAGGAAGTAGCGTGATGACTATACAATCAGTATTCTTTCTTCTTGTTTATCCACTATTGCTATACGTTCACTCTCTCTACGACTATACAGATTACAATCATTATACTATTTGGTGATTACTACTTGAACAAGTATTAACTAGTGCAGATATTATTAGAAGGTGTTACTACTAGTACCAGCGTTTAAGAAATCTCGAATATAACAAGCATTTTTGGAAGTGATAATGTGCTTTCATTTGACATAGCAAAAGTGACAAGTAAAGCTGTCCACAATCACAAAAGGTTCTTTATAACTTAAATAATGGGAAAATGATTTTCTTTTTTGTTTTTTATTCTTTATTTACTTACTTATTAGTTTTTCTACAAGATCCTCATGGAAAACATTAACAGGCAGGCATCATATCGTCTTCAGGACAATAGACTAGAAGATGAAAGTATTGGTTCATGAATTTGGTAACATGTGAGTTCAATCGCTGGGCTGGGTTAGGCAGTGTGTACTTGAACTCGATGAAAATAGTACAAGCAATACTAAAAATAAGAACAAGACAAGATATCCCTAGACATGAGCAAATGAACAAGAACTGTTTGCTCTTGTAGATTAAATAAAGGGTTTAGTTCGGAATTTCCAGTAGGTTACCTAGATCGATATACACCTGAGGAAGGCCAGAGAGCAAAGTGGTCAAAATGTTGTGATAACAATGACAAAGGTGAGGACAATAGTCCATATTGCTTCAAAGTTTGTCTCTTGCTCCTGACATGTGATGAAGAGGCATTGCAATTGTTGTCTAGATTCAGATTGAGGTTATTGAAGAGGATGCTGGCCGAATTTATTTAATGTGAGAACTATATTGAGGAATAATGGTGGCTTTCTTTACAAGTTGAATCTCAGAACTTCCTAATACCACTGTCCAGGGGAAGAAATGTAAAATAAATCTGTCTGTCAGTAAAAAAAAGATAGCTTTTTACAATGTAACTAAAATGAAAAACTTGATAATTTTTTTTTTCTTGGAATATTTATAAAGAATCCAACCACATGGCGTAGTAGAAAATCAGTTGCAGGAAATAGCTAGATGAAGTTTTGATATAAAGAATGCCATTTGTGCATTTATGTATGTTGTGGAGTGATTTCACAGAGGAGGCTTGTATTTGTACTAAGTCGGTCCTAAAATAGGTTCAACGTACAAAACGTTAGGAACTTGATATAATAGGTATAATGCAGAGTAATGTAGTTGTGGCCGCTGATACTTTAGTATTCGACTAACTGTCGTCCGGCATCGACAGACTGACTCACTCGTTACTCTTACTACTCCTACTTATTATAGGTGGGAGAGTCTATTAACTATAGAATAGGTGTGTTCCACTATAAGAATGTACACCATATTATTAAAGTAACGGAATACAATATTTTAAGCTTTCTCCAGGAGCTCTTTGAATGAATTTGGATAGAAGGAAACATAAATAATTTTCTGCATATCATGTTGAAACACTGGTTCTTGTATGATCCAGTTAAGCAACATTGATCATGGTCAGTATCTAGATGTATAACCATTTGGGAATATTAGGTGCTGTGATCTTAGATGTGTGGGTGGTGTAATGGATAATAGTTTGGAATTGGAAATTGGAGAGCTGAGTTCCAATTCCAGCTCAGTTTGTTATATTCACTTACATGCAAATAATCTTGGGAAAGGAATCAATCCACCTCTTCTTCCACAAGCTATGGGTTAATTAGTAAAAATTGTATCACTAAACCATTATTATTATCAATCCTCTTCTTCTTCTCCCAGCTATGGGTTAATTAGTAAAAATTGTATCACTAAACCATTATTATTATTATCAATCCTCCTCTTCTTCTCCCAGCTATGGGTTAATTAGTAGGACCTGTATCAGTAGATTATTATCATCTAAAAAAAATTCTTACATTAAAAAAAAATACTTTCTGACCTGAAAAATGATGATAATCCATGAAAAATTAAAAAAAAAAATTTTTCTCCTCTAACTTAACAGTTAAAAAAAATCATTTTTCCTTTACAGTAACCATCGATGCTCATTGACATTTGGGGATTGTGTGTATGAATCTACTGTGAGTGGGTTTGCTCTATCCCAAAAGAGATCTATATGTGGAACTTTCTCTAGGGTCCTGGCCTGTAGGTACTTGCTGTTGTGATACAGAGATGACCTGATATCCATTGATACCAGAGTGGACAATTGGAAAGAGTCAGCTGCAAATTACTATTCTTGCTGGTAGGCTGTATGTTTAGGTTTCACCACTTCAGGGAATGAAAGGACATGTCAGAAAGGAAAGAAGAAAAGCTGTGGCTGTAAATGCCCAGCTTCAATCTCTACCTTCAAGTGCTGTGGCTGTCTCAGGGATTGGTGCTCAAAAATCAGCTTGTTCAGCCACAATCGACACAGTTCTGCATTCAAAAGAGTTTTCAATGGAATAGACAGATGGAGCCAAAGGAAGTAATGTTCATTGACATTTGAAGAATTTACCAAGTATATGCTGCCATTGTCTCTTAAGTGACTGCCTATGAACAAAATAAATACAGGGACCAAGTGAAGAAAACAGACTGCCTTTATTAAAATAATGGAATAATCCATCATTTCATTATTACCTAATTAAGAACCTTCTATTTTCAGGAGTTAGTATTTTCACACACACTGAATGGCACATATAATTGTACCTATACTTTGAAAGGGTGTTTGCAACATATCAGTACCATTATTTACATTCAAACTATTGTCTTCATCTTTGTTGTTGTTATCACAATGTTACAGCTGTTGTGCAACCTGGCTTTCATCAGGTGTATGTTGATCCATGTATCCTACAGGGAATTCTGAACTGAACCCTTTATTTAATCTATAGGAGTAAACTTCTCTTTCCACTGACCATGTCTAGGAATATCTTGTCTCTTGTTCTTATTTTTAGTACTGCTCAGTTGTTGCTCACTATATTTCCAATGAGTCCAAGTACACAAAATAGACATAGGCAGTGAAATGAGAACAGTATGCCCATATAGATTAAATAAGAGATAATCTCTGAACATGGGCAACAGAATAAGAACAATCTTCCCCTGTAGATTAAATAAAGAGCTCAGTTTGAAATTCCCTGAAGATTATCAGGATCAACAAACACCTGATGAAGGCCAAAGGGCATAATGGCTGAAACATTGTTTTTAACAACAAAGATGGGGACAATAGTCTTTGTTCAACACACGTCAAGTTGGATTTGGTCGAGATCAAAACAAGCAAATAAAATGCGTGCAACATCATGACTTAACATGCGTAAGTAAAATATTTGCGTGGTCGTCTATAGCAATTTTTACAAGTGTGTCAATAATGGCAAATGTGTCAATAATGGATAGAGTATACTTAAAGGAAAATTAGCTTATCTTTATACCCTAGCCTGATGGCAAAAAGGAATGGTCAATTAGGGTTATCTTCATAGCCACTGAAACTGATGGTAAACACTGACTTGTATGTTAAAAAAAAATAGATAAAATTAGATTTCTTAGTGTATTCATTATTAATACATGATGCCATCTGTTTTTGTTGAGTTATCATTAGAAATTACTATAGAAAACTATTTATGCTTTATTTTGTTAAATAAATTTAAACCTAACACAATCCCTACTACCATAGATATTTTAAGCCTTACATTATACTATCCTTGTTTTTGCTAATAATTATTGTAATATTAGCCGTTTCCTTATTAGGAAATATTTGGAATTCATAGATCAAGTAGCCAGTGCTATCTTTGGTTGAAATTCATAAAATCTTTCTCTTAAAATATTTTTTCACAAAAGGTTTCTCAAGTCCAGTTGCTGCTATCGCTCTTTCCAATATTGATGGAGGTTTCCTTCCTAAGCTTTTGTGTGAAGTAGTGTTGAATGTCAACATTTTGATTATGTTGTTATTTTCTCTCTGATTTACATGTGCTATCCATTTTAGTTGTTACAGTTGTTGAAAGTCCTCAATTAATATGGTTTCTATTATTTTATACAGTTCTTTGGTTTTTTTATTTTGTAGCACCACTCTATGAGGTTTGAAGAAGAATAGTCCTTGATGAGACCTACAGGTTTCATTTGCTCAAAGTCATTTTTAATCATTGATCTGAGAAAGCGATTATATACAGCACAGTTTGGTTCTTATGACTAATGGTAGCTCTGTAAGAGGGTGTCAAATAATTCACCAATCTCTCCCCGCTTCAATCAATTTAAATTGCTATCATCTTCTGCTTATAAAGCAGGATGCTTTGCCTGCAAAGTCTCATCCAATTCTACTCTTGATTCATCAAGATCATCTTTACTTGATATTCCACATAGAATGTCTGTACTTGTGATTTCTATACAACTTCATCCATCATGTCCAAATTTGATTTCCACAAATTGATGATATTGCTGTATTTGTCCTTAAGAAATATGATCCTGTTCTCTCCAAACTCTACAATAGATGTTTGCTGCATTTTACTTTCTGGATTGTTGTAAATTCTCTTCTGTAGCTTTTATTTTTAAGAACTTTGGAGAATTGTTTGATCCTTCAAAGTATTAATCATTTAATCATCTCCAGTGCCAGTGCTAGGGTCTCAGGGTCTCCCCACAAAACTTTAAGATGGAGCCCCTCTCTCTACTACATGTTGAATTAAAAGTTTCCCAACCTGGGGACCACAAACACTCAATAGAAAATTTGCATGGGGGGAGGGCAATGCTTTTTTAAATTACCAAAAATCAGGGAATTATCGAATTTAAATGAACATTTCAGTACATATTAATTATTTACTTTTATTATGAAAATGTTATTCTTTTTGTAATAACCTCCAATATTTTCAAGCCTAAATTTTACTCGAAAAAATGTTTAAGTCGCAAACTTTTACATTTTCATAAGGATTAATCACTGGTGCATCTTCGCTGAAAAAAAAAAAAAAATTTATGAAAGATTCTAAACACGACACAAATGGGATTGTCATAAAAATTTGTTTTAAAAACTGTATTTCAGTTTTCTGTAAAATTTTTCATGTGTTGAAATCTTTAAACATATTTATTTTTTTAAGCGATCATTTTCTTGGTTTTATCTTTCTAGAAATGTAAAAAATACGAACTAGAAATTTTAATTTAATTAATAGCTGTGGACTTCTGGTTAGTATTACTATTATAAAATAAAAAAATTATCAGAGATTCTTCTTAGTGGATGATCTTGGAAGGAAAAATGATTTTTACCAAGATATATTATCTTCTGAATTGATTTAAAACAACTGTTGAGAAAGAAAATTAGAATTTAAAAAAATAAGCTCTACTGAAATTAGCAATTCTTTCCCCCCCTCCACAGTAAGCATTTGGTCCCCATGCAGTGGAAAAGTTCAAGGTAGTAAGCACCAGCCATGTTGATTATTAGAAATGATGATTAGCAATATAATTTAGGTAAAAAAAGGTAAAAAATGCACAAAGCAAAAAAAGTGCTGCTGAAACTAGCCCTTTTGAGGTTCCAACATTGTCAAGGGTTCCTGTGTAGTATGCACTGCACCATCCATGCAGATACACAATATTAGTTGATGACTGAAATTGTAATGTCAGTTTAAAAATAATTAAAAAAATGATGGATGGCCAAAAAACAGTGTTGAAAAATATTGACAGAGGCCACAACAGTGCTCCAAAAACTGCTGCCTACACCACTGGGTTGGGAGTTTTGGGGATTAAGATGTGCCAGATCTTGTCATCTCCCCCTCTTTGATTAAGATTTTATTTTTACTACTTTAAAAATTTTAATCATGAATAAATGTTTAATTGTCTAAGTTGTTCTTTTAGTACTTATTCGTTTGAGAGAAGTGTTTTTTTATGAAGACTAGACTGTTTGTGTAAAAAATTATTAAATATGTATATCTTTTTTGGCTCAGCAGTTGAAATCTGCACAAATTGTTAAGAATCTATTTCAAGTTTATGGAAAATTCTTTTTTATATATAATGACCCATGAGAGACGTGGTCTGAAGCCCAAGTAAGAACCCGAGTGGGGGACTTCTGTGAGCCTATTTTTTTCAAATAAATAGATGTCAGGTCAGTGGATGAGGAAGAAGACATTTTGACATCAAAGGGACCAGGCAAATTGACATCAAGTCAATTAAGACAGTTAAAAAAGCATCAGTTACCAGCCAGCTGCAGAGAACCTTGAAGTTCACAAGTGAAAATTCTCTGTCTATATTTCTGAGATGAGGTATTATGTACACTATTTACATTAGTCGGACTATTGTCCTCATCTTTGTCGCCATATTTGTCACAATGTTTCGGCTGTTGTACGCTACGGCCTTCTTCAGGTGGTTGGAATTTTGAACTGAACCCTTTATTAGCAGGAGATAACTGATAACTGACATCCATCAAACATGGCACGTGGAACTAGAACAGTCTACCCCGGTGAGCGAAATAAAGGGTTCAGTTCGAAATTCCAACCACCTGAAGAAGGCCGGAGTGTACAATGGCCGAAATGTTGTGACAAATATGGCGACAAAGATGAGGACAATAGTCCGACTAATGTAAATACTGTGAAAATTCTCTTGCAGTTTGACAACAAAGAATAAAAAGAATTCAAAGAAACTTTATCAAAAATGAACATTGTGAATTCAAAAGTGACATTTCCAAAATTACTATATGTCTCAAAGACGCTTGTGATGTAAGTAAAAGTAGGCGTTTTTTCTGAAAGGTGTTTGCTCATTTGTTTTTCTGCCTTCTTGAATTGTTTTCTCTTTTTGTCATTGAATCTTTGTGTCTTTTCCTCAACTGTAAGCCTGTTTTTTTTTTTCATTTTTGGATGGTATTCCTTTTTGGAACAGCAGAAATTTGTTAACATGCCTTAACCTTTTGAGCCCTGTGTTCCTGAACAATTTTAACCCTTCTACCTGAGCTTCTGAGTCAAAATTTGCAAATAATTGGTATGTAATATTTCATGGGAAATATAAAATACAGTTACAAGTGTTTACCCACCGTTCAACTGGTAGCTGAGCATTAAGTCATTTTTCTCTACCACTGGTAAAGTGGTGGTCAGGGCTCAAGGTGTTCATAGGTGCAAAAAAGGAAATTTTTGTGCAAATTTTGTATTTGTACCATTTTTTTCTTTACTTGTGTAATAAATGTTTTTCCTTTAAAATTTTATGCAATTTTTGAGTTGTTTTGTTATTTGCACCTACTTTGACCTCAAGAAAGAAGAGAAGCATGTCTTCTCTTTTCTTTTTCTATTCCTACTAACTAGGTTTTTTGTGTTTAGAACAAGAATTTAGATTTAGTAAGGAATTAAAATTTTTATAAAAGTATTAGAAGCTTTAAGAAACTCTGAATTTGTTAAGTATCTCACCTTGTGGATAAACAATATGGTTCTTGCTCCTCTCGGTTAACTGCTGATGTGTTAACTTGAAAAACTGTCAAACTTTAGATAAGAATGGCAAAGTTCAGGCAGTTGTTTTAGATATTGCGAAGATATTTGATAGGGTTCAGTATGTGGGTCTTCTCCACAAGTTGAAGAGTTACAGTGTTTCAGACCACTTCTTTTATTTGATTCAATCTTTCTTATTGTTGTAGCATATATACCCCCATTCCCATAAATACAGTAGTGAATACTGTATGTTGGTCTGCAGTTGGAGATTCATTCTGGAATTCACTTGACTCACTTCTAACAGTTGACTACTGCTACATGCTGCTGTCAAATCTTATATATGTTGTTCTTGTCCTAAGTATTATTGTTCATTATCAACGTTCATGTGATTATTCTATTCAGTAACCATCCTTAAGTTACAACACTTAACAAACTTTGTGATGAAATTTATCTTTAACAGCTCCTCCACTCAGTTATTTTACAAGTGTTCCTTATTTTCATCAATGACCTTTCCAACGTTATCAGTTCTGAAGTTGATATCTATATGAATAACAAGTATTTATTCTTGTTTTAATAGTAAATCTGATAGGTCTGATAAAATCCAATTGACAGCTGATCTTGAAAATGACCTTCAATCTGTTGTTAACTGGGGCAAGAAGTGGCTTGTTAATTTTAATGGCTCTAAAATGAAACTGTTCTGTTTTAATTATCTTAAAGAACCTTTTATGCCTCCTATCAGCATGGCAGATGCTAATCTACAGAAGAGCCACTCACTGAACCTTCTTGGTCCCACATTTTCCACTGATATGAAGTGAAATAATTATATTGAATCAAATCAAGTCTGCTTCCAGGAAAGTTGTCATGCTAGACAATTTTCCTCATCAGGATTGATTCATGCACATTCAACAGTGTATCAAATATTGCTATCACATCTCGTCTGGGAATTCTGCTATACATCTAGAAATTATTGAAAAAATCCAGAGAAGAATCTGCAACATTATCGGTCTTGACCAGACATCTCAACTTTAATCACTTTCCTAACATTGTAATGTAGCTTCCCTTTGGCTCTCTTTTAAATATTGCCCTGTAATTGTTCTGATGAGCTTTCCTCATTAGTATCTCAACTTATGACTAGTTTCACACCAATTTATATTTGTTGATTTTTAGCTGAAGTATTTTCACTATAATTTAATACTAGTTTCACACCATCTTATTAATGTTGCTTTTTTATTGTTTTAATATAAAGCAACAATATTAAGATAAAAATAAAACAATAAAGTTCACAACTGAGTTACCCAATTCTTATCTCAAATATTTCCAGAATGTATCTGCTGTAGATTTGATATTCAAAGGTATGTCCTGATGTTTTTCTCACTTCTACGGGGTGCGATAGGTAAATTATCACTATTTTATATTTTTAATTTTGCACATGTACATTGTTTTTGATTTTGTTGACTGCACAGTATAGTAGAGTCACTTAGGAACTATCTGTGAGAAAAAGAGTACCATGACACAATTCAGAAATTTGGGAACACCATTCTGTACTGCTTGGTGCCAGACACTCCAATACAAATATTTCAGAGTGTTTGGGTGTCAATCTGAGGACAGTGCTGAGGATTTGGAAAGAGTTGGATGAGTCTAATGGTGATTACAAACATACAGCAGCTTATAAGAAAAGAACTCCCGAATTTGTTGGTGAGGACCTCAGATTCAAGACAAAGATCTACAAGTACCTTGAGGAGATAGTGCTGCCCTGGATCCATAAGGTGGCTACTGGAAGACCTTATGTTTAGCAACAGGATTCTGCATCATGCTTCACAAGCAGGAGAACCCAGTCATAGCTATCAGACAATTTCTATGATCACATCACCCCTTACATCTGGCCACCTAACTTACATTTCGGCCACCCCCTTGATTATTATGTGCGGGGTACAATGGATCGAGAGACCAACAAAACTCCTTTTAACACCAAAGATGAACTGAAGGCAAGGATTATGGCAGCATTCACCAATTTATACAGGAATACCATCCAAAAGAGTTGCAGGAGATTCTGAAGTCGTCTAGAGGCCATGGTTGAAGCCAACAGCAATTTTATTGAATAAATTTATTCTTTAGAATTTCAATATATCTGTTAAAATGTGATGTCAGTATTATTTTCATTTTTGTGTCATTTAGATGGCAATTTATCCATCGCACCATGTAGATCATTGGTGACAAAATGCAATACAAGTACCAAAGTTCTTCCATAATTAGTTTTTAGTGAAATGAGAAAAGAAAAAGAACAGTGTCGGTCAGTCTTACCTTCTGGCAGAGTAGAGACCCGGACTATGTCACTTGGAGGCCCACGGCCTGCTTCATTCTCTAAGGAAATTTGAAAAATGTATTCTGTTCCAGGAAGTAAACCACTTATGTTGGCTGAATGACCCTCAGAGGCGTAATAGTGAACATCTTTATCTTCGCAACCTTCAATGGGACTTACAGATTGGTATCTCACCACATACTGCTTCAGGGGGCCATTTTGATAAAACTTTGAGGGAGGCTGACAAAAAAAAAATAAAGCAATAATAAAATCATTAAAAATGGTAAAAACTGGAAAAGTTCAAATTGATAGCAGAGATAAAGAATTTCTGTGTGTGAATTTAATAAAATAAAAATTATTAACTACAAAAAGTTATTTACATAGGAGATGAGGGTTTAACTTCAAAGACATGGATTCCTGTGGGTGAAATGCTGTTTCTATTTACTCACAGTACTGTTAAATTACTTCCAAGAACCATAATAATCTATAAATTTTTCTGAAAGCTTCTGATCAACTCTTCTAGAAAACGTCATGAAATTATGTAAATTAGTTCACTTTAGTTCATTAATTATTTAAAATTCCTGCTATATCACTGACCGAAAGGCAGAGTTTCCAAATCTGAAAGTCTTTACTAGTTGTCATCTTCGTTGTTGTTATCACAATATTTCAGCTGTTTTGAACTGAACCCTTTACCCAATTTACATATATACACCCTTGTGGAAATTAATTGAAACAGTCACTTTAGTTTCCTTTCTTTCTCTTACTGTCAGTTTTAGACCTACTGGAGTGACAGGGTGTAATCAATTTCTATTTTTCCTCAGATTAGGTCATCTGCAGTGGTGTACAGTAATATGAAACTATTTTCAGGGTATATGAGAAAAGTTGTTTGGCCTTGAAAAATATTGTGTCATCTGTGACTGCTTCAGATTTTCATCATGCCCAGACACTACTTTCTTGACAATTGATTAGTTGTCCTACAGCCAATGTCTTCAATGGACGTTACTCCATGGAAGCATATGAAAATTGTAATGCTGCACAAACACACTGGCAAGCCTTACCAGTGATCAAATCAAAGTACTATAGTTTGACCTGGAAACTCTCTTGATTTAAATCCAATCGAGAAACTGTGTTCAATCAGGAAGGTACGACTTTGTGGAATGGACATATGCAGTACTATCATATGCACTGGGTCATGTTTCATTGGAAAAAATGAAAGAAAGTAAATAATAACAGAATTATTTGTTTTGTTTCAATTAATTTGCACAAGGGTGTATATTGTTCTCTTTCAGCTGTCCATGCTGTTATACCGGAACATACCTATTCTATTGTTAATAGACTCTCCCACAGATAATAAGTAGTACAGTGTAACCCGGATATAAGAGAGATTTTCTCTGGTCCCAAATTAGAGCCTGTGTTAATGTATATAAAATAGACCAAACCCAGATATAAGAGAAACTCGGATATAAGAGACTTCTTCTCCGGTCCCGACAACTCTCTTATATCCGGGTTACATTGTAGTAGTAGCAGTCGCCAGGGAGCTGGAGTGAGTTGGTGAGTCAGTCAATGTCGGACATTAAAGTATCAACCACCACAACTAGATTGCTGCATCATTCACTATTATTTCAAGTTCCTAATGTTTTGTATGTCGAACCCTTTTAGGACCGACTTAGTGAAATATAAGCCTCCACTGTGAAAACTACTCTACAACACATGCATAGAGATATCTCAATTCACTCTTAATTAGTACTGCTTTTCTTATTGCTTGCCTTGTTTCCACTAAGCTCAGGGATTGAACACACAATTACTATGTCATCAAATTCAAAACTAATATAATATAAATAATGCTAACTCTGCATCCCAGAATTTCAGACAAAAATTGGAATTCTTCACACAAAAATTTTTAATGAAGGTTTACAATCTGATAGACTTTCTCAGTTAAAAATTAAAGAGAAAAATAATGGAAAAAAATAGTGAATGTCAAACAATTTCTTGATGCATGATAAAGAAACTTGAAATGTGAGAGTTGTGGTTCTATTGACAAATGCTGAGAATAGGCAAGTTGTGAAAACAAAGTGGAAGTCTTAGGAAAGATAGAAAGAACAAGGCAACTTATATTTACACTTTGAATAAAACACCTGAAAATTCTGAGGAAAGAGGGACATGAGTGTTTAACACTCACAAGACATACCGAGTCCCAGAAATTTCAACTCTATGTTTCTGGTTCTAAGTACAAGGGCTGATGGCTATTTCATGTTGAAACACTGGTTTTCATTAGATCACCAAAGTTAAGCAATATCAAGCCTGGTCAGTACCTAGACGGGTGACTGCTTGGAAATATCAGGTGCTGTAAGTTTGGATTTTTTGGGTAAGGTTTCAGAACTGGAAATCAGTTACAATTTCAGTTAGGTTTGTTATATTCATTTAAGTATAAATATCATTGGGAAAGGTATGTATCCATGTCTTATCCCTCCAGCTATGGGTTAATTAGTAGAACTTGTATCAGTAAATCATTATTCTCTCAAAAAATTCTTACAGTCTAAAATATAAGTTGTAAAAAAAAAAAAAAAAATCAATCTAAGTACAAGTGTCCATTTTGTTTTCATTTTCCTTAAAATGTTTGATTCATAGTATTAACTATACTGACTCTTGTGGTCCTACCAAGGATTGAACTCACCATCCTTGGTTAACAAATGTATGAAGATATTAGATTCCTGCTCCTCAGTTTGATGGATGTGTTCTAAACAGCAGCAGCAGGCTTGTCTCCATTGCTGTCAAAGTGGATTTATCTGTTAAGTATTATTTAAGTTTACTCAAATGTCTCCCCAGTGTATATTTTTCTATTTTATGATGAAGTGTTGTCACTCAGTTTATTGAGCAATATCCTGTTTTATCATGTGATAGCAAAGCATAGTTCATAAAAAAAAAAAAAAAGATGAATGGCTACAAATATAAAGATTTTACTCCCACCAGTGCTTATCCTAGAAAAGTACCATACTTGGAAAAAAGAAATGAAGTTTTGGGAATTGGCAGCAAATATAGATATGAAGAAAAGGCAACTGGGTTTTTGAGTCAAAATGGTAAAGCCAGAGAAGCAGTGCTGGAAATGGACCCTGATAAATTAAACAGAGAGGAAGGAATGAAGTTATCATATGAAAAGTTGGATTCTGTTCAAGATGGACTGTAATCAAGCAGCTCTAGTGACATATAGAACTCTTGAAAAATATATTAGACCACAATATCATCATCAAGAACTGACTGTATGGTCCAGCAACTTGGTGAACATATTAAGTTGCCCGATGCTATATTGGCTTACAGAGGCCCCAAAATTGCCAATCTTTGGGGAAGACAATGAAAAACTAATAATGTCTACCATCAGAGACATAACTCTCGGTGAAATGACAGTTCAAATAAAAAAGGTGATGGGTGTTAAACCAGGAGACTTTAATGAGAACTTCCTCTCCAGCAATCCATCAAATAAAGTCTGAACCAATTGATGTGCACAGACAAAGGATATAATGTAATAGCTCTGTACACAGAAATCAACAGGAGTATTATCTTTGTAGAAGATGAAGAGGCAATACATATAGAGGCAATAAATTCAGTAAAATAAGTCAATGACATATCAGTTATCAGAAGAATGAAACCAGAAAAAAATCCTCTTGGACCTAATGGTAAACCATCTAGATGATGGAGAGGCAATAGATCCACAAAGAAAATTTGCTAAATTTAAGACCAATACTTTCATTCATTTTGAAACCTAAACTAGTAAGAGGAATGTAATAATGCCCAGAGTTAGTGCAGCAAAACTTTTGGCCAAGTATAGTCACACTATCATTTTTAAAATGCAGAACACTATTTACCTTTTTTTTTTATCACATAGTATTCTCAGCATCTTTCTGTAGAACCACATTTCTTTTGCCTCAAGACTGATCTGTGAGGAAATTGTCCAGCATTCACAGATATATTACAGGATTAATATTACATAACAGTTCAACACTCTTTCTTATCATTACTTCATGAAAATTACTATCTATAACTTACAGCACGGATAATAATGACTTTAACCCAAGTCACATCTGGATTAATTTAGCCAATGGTTTTATCCACTGGGCTATGTGTTCTTAGGGATTTAACTCAAAGAGTTGTGAGTTAAATACCTGGCCACTGGAGAGTTGAGTTACTAAAGGGAATTAACTGAAACTGAGATATCAAAAAAAGGCATGGCACGTGGAACTAGAACAACCTAATCCAGTGAACTAAATAAAGGGTTTTGTTCAAAATTCTGACATATATCACCTGAAGAAGGCCGGAGTGTACAATAGCTGAAATGTTGTGAATATGACAAAGATGAAGACAACAGTCCAAACAATGTAAATAGTTACAATACCTCATCACAAAAATATAGACAAATTCTAATGAATTTCTATGAAATAATTCTGAAGCTCTCAATGACTATGAAATTTCAAAGAAGACTTAATGAAAAACAATTCCTTTCCTTTAATAATTATATTGAACATCTTTCTTTGCATCTGTAGTAGCCAGGTTTTCAGAAGGTGATTCACAGTTTAGGAAAGATGATGGATGAATTCAACATGCATAGAATGTCTATCATTTTTAATAATTTATTATTATGTTGCCTAACATTGAAATAACAGTAGTTTCAGCAAAAAGAATATTTTGTCTATTTGAGTATTTCAATCAAATGAGATATAGTATAGCAGTATAACTTTCTTTTTCTTAGAGTAATCTATGGTAAATATAAAATTGCCAAAAATTATTTCCAGCATTATCAAATTTATGACTCATTTCATATTCAGTTTTTAAAACAATAACATGCTATGAAATTTTCTCAGCTTGATCTTATAATTTGTAGGATAAAATAGAAAATAATATGTATAGAAATAATATATAATAAGAACCTATTTTGGGTGTTTTCTATTTTCTATTATCATATATAATATTATAATTTATATGTAATATAAATTTATGGTATATATATGTTGTAACCTAAGGAAGGTTACTGAATAGAATAATCAATAAAGGTTGGTAATGAATGATAATACTTAGGACAAGAACAACATATATAAGATTTGCCAGCAGTGTGTAGAAGAAGAAATCAACTGCTAGAAGTGAGTCAAGTGAATTCCACAATGAATCTCCAACTGCAGGCCAACATACAGTATTTACTACTGCATTCATGTGAATGGGGATGTACCCATTATTGGCCGTAGGTATGCTACAACACTATCTATCTATCCAACTCTGTTCATATCTATCTGTTGTAACCTAGGGAAGGTTACTGAATAAAATAATCACATGAAGGTTGGTAATGAACAATAATACTTAGGACAAGAACAACACATGTAAGATTCACTAGCAGTGTGTAGAAGTTGTCAACTGCTAGAAGTGAGTCAAATGAATTCCACAATGAATCTCCAACTGCAGACCAACATACAATATTTACTACTGGATTTAAATGAATGTCCATAACTATTCTACAACAATAATTCTATTTTTTTAATAATTCTATAATTTTTAAAATAATTATATAATTATAAATTTATCTTTTATTAATTAATATTTATCATATAGGAAGAACTTGAGTAACTACCAACACCGAGGTTTGAACATGACATTCTGAATTTATGAATATATGTTTTCCACCAGGTGTATAAATAGTGGTGTCAGACTGCGGTGATTATTGACTGAGTCGAACTATCCAGTCGAATTATTGTGCGTTGATGATTTGGGTTTTGATCTAGGCTACGTTAAGCCAAGTCGTGCTTCTAACAAGGTATTCACTGGAATGGTTAATTATCTTTCGTTGACTTTTACTTCTTTCTTCTTGTTAATTATCTATTTGCGGTTGTAATTAAAAAATACTGTTTTATCTTAACATTGAAGTCTTGAGTTATACTTAATTATTAACGGCCACCATACATCATAAAAATATTATATTATTGTCATATATATAATAATATATAATAACATACATATAATTTTGTTTTTAATTTCACCCCAGGCAAGGTAAAAATGCCATTAAGATGGAAGGAGTTGAGGGGGAAAAAAAAAACACTATTAAAGAGTGAGAACAATAAAAGTCCAGGAATTAAGATTTTAAATCTACAAAATTTTCAAAATACAAGGTGTCCATAAAGTTCGTGTACACTTTAAAAAAATTTATAACTTTATTTGCATTTGCGATGGAAATAATCTGTAAAAAATGTTATAAAGTTTAATCTACCTTGTTTTAAGTATAGATAAAATAACTAAATATGATTTCAGGCATTACTGTAAATCAGTTGGCAAATTTTTTCTGTGAAGTGCAAAATCGTATTACCCTTTGTATTGCTAATGATGGAGGACATGTGGAAACTTAAATAAAATTTCAATAAAACCTTAAAAAATAATAGATTTACTTCTTTCTAATCCTTTTTACAAATTATTTCTATCGCAAATACAAATAAAGTTATAAATTTTTTAAAGTGCACACGAATTTTATGGACACTCAGTATATGAACTACAAAGCAATTTTTATCATTTACCATTTTATAAACAAATAACACTGAAAATAAGTTTTTATATATAATTTTATAAACTATAGAACAAGAAAATATATATAATAATGTTATATATATGATTATAATGTTATATATAATTTTATGAATTATAGAACAAGAAAATTTAAATATATACATGATTTTCTTTTCATATTTTTTATATCTCAGAATTGATTCAAACTTTATAAAATGGTAAAGAATAAAGATTTCATTATAGTTGGTTCATATAGTTTTATGATTTAGTAAATTTTTATAAATTTATGTATAAAAATTTTTTCATATTTATTTCTTTATAAATTGGTCAATGATAAACATTGCCTTGTATTAATTTGTATACATTTTTTTAGAATGTAAATTAACAATTTAATAAATAGTGCTTAATATTTTTGTAAATTTTCAAGAAAACATAAAATGTATAAATTCACTTTCTTATGTTAAGGTTTTATTAAAATGATAATCACTTTTTAAAACAATAAACATTGCTGAGGGAGTAGTCTCAATAGAAAAACCACCTTCTGAACACATCGATTTTTTGTGGACAAGAATGTTAAACTTTCCTGATTATGGAATATACCCGAGTTCTATTTATATAAAAATAATTCATTAATCTATTTTTCTCTTTAATAAGATCATAATACTTTTAATGTAGTGCAGCACAGTTTTTATTTATGTTTTTCTGAATGTTTTTTTTTATTTAGGATTTTGTTTTAGCAATTTTTTTTTTTACATAACTTTCTTGTATTGGCTTATCAAGGGACATAACTCAATAATAGTCGTTGAAGCCCTCGAATTTATTGGAAAATGTTCCAATAGACTTATTGATGGGATTCCTGAAAGCCTTAAAGAAATACAAAACAATTGTACTCACAAGTCCAGCTCACGCATTATAAAGAGCTTTATGTAAAATATGATCTTTTTAATCAATTTGAATGCATGCAAAAATGACAAAATTAAAAAAAAGAGAAGTTTTACCTGCCATGTCAGATACACAATTCTTCCTTTCAATGGTTGAACTGTAAGATTTTGGGGACTGGACGACGGAGCTTTGAAAAGATATAAGAAAAATTGTGATAATAAACAGCTATTACTCAATAATTGAGCATACTTTTAAAATCAGCAATAACCACCAGCTGCAAATACGACTTAAGTGAAAAGATGTGAATTTAAAAAAGAGGGACACAATTTTGGATCACATGAGTTCTAACAGGATAAGTTAATGTTCCTTTCAGTTACAATTACTTAGGCTTATGGCCATATAATGTTGAAACACCGGTTCTTGTATGATCACCAAAGTTAAGCAACATCAAGTCTGGTCAGTACCTAGATGGGTGACCACTTGGAAATACCAGGTTCTGTAAACTTAGGTGTGCAGGTGGTATTATGAATAATGGCTTGGAATTGCTAATCTGAGTTCCAATTCCATTTGGGTTCGTCATATTCCCTTATGCACAAATATCATTGGGAAAAGTATTAATCAACCCTTTCTCCCTAGCTATGGGTTAATTAGTAAGACTTGTATCTCTAAAACCATTATTACCTCAGAAAAAATAGAATTGCATAAAAAACATTTAGATTTTGGCATTAAATAATCCAGGGAGGTTGATATGCTGTTTTTTTACAAATCCAACCAACCAACAATAACAACTTAGCTCAAAACATGAATATTGAAATAATATCATGATTGTAAATTGTAGATATAGATTCTGCATATTCCTATGTACTGAAAAATATAATACTTGTTAAATTTAAAATATATTAGTCTTTTTTTTAAAATTATTTTCACCTTGCACAAGGCTCAAGAGACATTTGAGGTAGAGGATTATGGAGTAAGAGGCACAGTTTTTGTGGATATGTAGGGAACATAATGGTTAACCCTAGACTTGACCATGTTAAGACTAGTGATCGGAGAAGAATCCTCTTGAAAATCGTTTTCACAAAGTAGAGATTTGTGGGGAAAAAGCTACTTGAATGGAACTTACATATCACCACTGGAATACAAATAGAATGAGGGGTGTTCACTACAATGGGTGTGGTATGGTAGGTCTTAGCTGTGAAGTTTGTATTAATATTGTTATTGAGGTTGTTTAAATATTTGTTTAATGTTATATTATTATGTTGTGCTATATACTATTTGAGGTTTTTGATGCAGCTGTAGCTAATATTAATGTTGTTCTTGTTGAAGATTTTGTTCAGCAATGCTATATTGATTTTGACATTTTTGTTAAATGGTATATGTGTATTTATTAATAACTACTTTATAGCTCTGTTTAACTACATTAAATACTGTTTTGTTTGCACCATAAATTAAATAAAATAAATATTTATTTGCTTATCTGCATATGTGCGCTATCACATGTATAACTTGTTATTTATTTTCACACATAACTATATATTATATGAAAAGATTACTTAACTTTTAAATATCAATTTTATCCCAACATTAATGTTTCTTGGTAAAATTTCCAGTCTCCAGGGGTTGTGATATTGGGATAAAATTGATATTTAAAGTTAAGTACTTTTCATATAATTTTATTAATGCTCTATTTTTAATATTATTTTAATATTTTTAATATTGAGCACTATATATAAAAAATATCTGGTATTTCTTAAATCTTAAATTACATATATATATATATATATATATATATATATAGGTACATAAGGTAGCTTAGGGAAAATTTTAATATTAAAAAACAATAGAAAAATCAGAAATACAAAAAAAATTTATTGGATAAAACTTCCTTCAGACTCAAAGATAGCCTTGTATAAAAAAATATAGGTTACCTCCCTTAGATGTCTCCTACTGATAAGAATTGGATGAGTTCTTTAAAGTATATTAAACCAAGATTAGGAGCCAAATAAGATTTTGAGTGTCAAAGACAGACGCCAATAGAACACTTAGCAGGAGAATGATGCTGAATCGAACATGCTGCTAATGGACATGTTTTTAGATGATTCCAGACCGGAGACTCCAAGAAGAATATGAAATGATGAGTTTCCAGACCAATCTAACAGGAATGCAGACCTGAATAATCCAAGGACATCCAAACAGACAATAACTACGAAACAAATATCCTTTTAGCAATTTTGATCTGTTTTTTTTTTCATGTTATGTAATGTGTTAACTGTATAAAAAATGTTTTACAATGTTCATTTGTCTCTCTCTTTGCCAATTGAGCCATTGGGAGGTCATTAAAATTCCTGTACTTGATGCGGACTCACAAATGACATGTTTGGATCAAGTGGTGGTCATTCATGTTGGCCATCATGTTCCTGATAGCGGCCTTCAACATAGTATTGTAAGGTGGGTCTGCAAGTTGGTCTCCCTCCTAATGACACCCCACATGTAGTCATTCAGGAGATTCAAATCAAGAGAGCTCAAAGAGCCAAGGGGACATAATCATAACAATTCTTGGCCAGCCACTCCAGAATCAAGCTGGATATGCAAAAGAGAGATATGCTGGAATAATTAAAGCTTTCCTTCAATCACTCACTCAATTGTGAACTTGATCATCATAATTAGCACCTTGGTGTTGGTGGTGCACTGATCACTGAGGGTTCTGCAGGGAGATGACATGGCTCTTCTTCCTTACAACTCCATCACAGACAGTATAAGTGGCCATCACAGCCAATATAAACTTGATGTGCCTCACAGTGAGTACCTCTGTGGACCATGAAAAGCCACCTGTTATTCCACAAGTTCGCCTTTTGGCTCAGATCAAATGTCTTATTGGAGAAGACCCAAAGCTTGAATTTATCCAGAAAATACTTGGATTGGATCAAATGGATCTCCTAAGTCTTGTCAGACATGAGCTGCTCTCTCCTTTGTAATTGATATCCTTGAAAACCACATGTCTGATTCTGAACACAGCCACCTTGTTCCACTTGGCAGTGGTTCTAATCTTTTTGCTGGTGTCATGGTTGGTGAAGTCCTAGACCTGCAAGAAATCAGCCATCAATATGATGTTTAATTGTTTAGAATGTGTCTTTCTCTTGTCCACAGAAAACGCATTCTCATCAGAACCTCTAGCTCGTTTTCTGAAATCCATACATGTATGTATATATATATATATATATATATATATATATATAAGTGAACATTGAAGTCAACACTTAGAGGCGACAGTCTGTTTCATGCTAGACGCAATCGTGGCCTGTTCACTTTTATATTTACACACGCTCTATCTGATATTGAGCAGTTTATCCCATAAATATAGCACACCTTAGGACTATATTTCGTTATATATATATATATTACTTAAACATTATTTTTAGTGGATATTCATATTTGAGTAAAAACTCCATTTATTTATTAAACAGTATATTTATTTATTTTTATCTACCAGCCTGAATATTTAGGTAATCTTAATTAAAGAAAAATATGCACTCTCTGGTAGGATATGAACCTGCATTCCCTGTTTCAAAACCATCATTAGAAAAGTGCATATATAAAAAAAGAAACAAGAAATATAAACAGTCAGTTGCTGATATCCCCTGACAAATAGACGGCGTGATTGCTGGAGGATCCGTCTTTGAAACTCTAGAGTTGGGATGCTGAAGGTAACACCAATCAGATAAGTGACAAACTTTATATTTGTATTAATTTTCTTTCTTTCTCTCTCTCTTTATATTCCAAATTTAAAAACACTCATGTATATTCAGCAAGTTAATTGAAAAGATTTAGGTGTTAGCTTATGTCATATACCATCTTTGAAAGGAAATCTTTAAATTTAAAGACATTCAATAACAAGTTAACTGAAATGTCCAGGCATTTAGACCATAGAATATGTCATTTAGTATACTTGAAAAAGAAAAGAAAAGAAGGAAAAGAAAAAGTTTCTTGGATTGAAATATGAGATGGATGTTTGTATTATATATCTCCAAAAGTTGAAATGATAGATTCAGCCATTTTCCTTTGATTTTTCAACACATTTGTTGTGTATGTTGTGTATTTTGTCTCTTCTACAGATATACTCCATCTGATAATATAATAACTTAATACATCTAGGGAAGTAGGACTATTAATGATTGTAGTTTGAATAGTACTATGGCATCAAAACACTAACTCAAGCTGTAAATCAAAGAATATTATTATTTGGATAAATATTTTATTTGAATGAACTCATTTATTTACAAAACGAAAAATACATGTACCATCAGCTCAATCTTGTATGGTTTCAATGGCATCCCTGTGACTGATGCAGGAAAACAGGGTGGTGTCATTTCTTTTGAAGTCTTTGTTCAGAACATTTAGCGTTTCAAAATTGAAAGACAAATTGGTGAAAACATACCTTAATTTAAACTTTAAATTATGAATTTTAAATTTTAAGAAAATAGAAAACTAAAAATGGCCATTTTGCATAGATCAGATGAAATAAATACAATAAATGAATATTTATGCCAACAAAATGACTTAGATTAA